CAGACATGTCATAAGTATTGCTTCCAAATAGTAATTTTGAGAAACGTAGACCTCAATTGCGTCGTTCCGATCTCCCAGTCCTAGCAATACGGTGGCCGCTGTGTGAATATCGCCGATCTCCAGAAGCTTCTGGACGAAGGCTTGCCCAAATTTATTTGATTGGGATTCTCCGGACATCTGGCTGAAAGCGAGAAGCATCCAGTCGGTAATTGTCGCAGGCCCGGAACCGATCATCGAAACCATGTGGTCAGTGTCGGACTCCCCAAGCCATTGAGCTAACAGAACGGCATTATGGCTCGTTGGAGGGTGATGGCTAACTATTAGAAATGTCAGTTAACTCACGGCAGTACTCGAAAGTCTCCTGAACCTACGTTCGTCTCGAATCAATCCTTCAATGTCACCGTCAAAGCCAAAAACAACGCTCAACATCTGTTGGCGTAGATCATCTGGAGTCAGGCGAGATTCATCAAGTGGCTGGTGATGTCCGTAGGGCACATCATTCAGGCGTGCGCGCGTAAAGGGGAATAAGTCGCTGGGTCTATCTGCAGGGCTGAGTTGGACCTCATTTCTCAGACGCGAGCCTCCAGCATGAGAGCTTTTAACTGAGGACATTGAAACAGACGAGGCGTAAGCATATGAAGCTCCAGACGCCTGGGGGGTATCTCGTCCGGATGCAGATGTCAATGAAAAAGACGTCCCAGTTACTCCTGACCTGCTCTGTGGCGAGAATGTGCCCACTCTATATTTTCCCGAAGATGCCTTGGAACTGACCGAATTCGCATGGCTGCGAGAAGAGACCGGACTGCTCAATTCCGCACGTTGCTGCCGAACAGTCTCAATCCCGTTCATGTCGAATGGAGTTCTTCTCGAATTGAATGCGTTTGCAGACTCTTTTATCGTAGGTGGATCCTCAAGAGTCCGTAGCTTCGCTTGCTCTTGGGGTAAGGACATGACATTGGCCGGGAGATGTTGTACGTTGGCCACCATTGCTGGTGCTTCGACATCGTACTGCTGCACAGTGAATTGCGGCCCTAGCGTGAAAAGTGTCGCCGTTGGACCGTAGTTTGCAAACCCGCGAGGGTTGTCGATCGTAGGAACTGGCTCGTATGTGACATGTTTCGTCCTGACATCCCATGCCCATGTCTCTCTGTGATTTGGGCCATTAGCTATCGAGAGTTTGCCAGATGTAGGCCAGATGGGGTACACCTACCCATCAAGATATTGTACAATTCTTCCGTTCTTTGACCAAGCCATCCATTTTGGCTCTGATGGTGGCGAGCCATCTGACCGCTTCAACACCCTGATGACTCGAGGAGGTTCTTTTCCTGGCGGCTTGGCAACGCTCCACACCCTTAAATCACCATTTGCCGATAGTGTCGCTAGCATATCAGATTTCTGCTTGGAGGAAGAGGCATGCCAGGCCAAGGAGAGTATGGATGACGGTCCTCGGGAGGTGGCCATAGTATGTAAAATTGTGAACGTCGGGTGGAGGGTAGCGATCATTATAGAGCCATTCTGGTAACTATAAGAAGGTCTGTCAGCTTTGAATACGGACAGATACTTGGTTTGACGGGTACCCTATTGCGTATGTTCGACAGTCTGTGGCTGGTGCAAGAGAGGTTATAGGATCGAAGATGGTGCGACAGGAAATGTGCTCCGAGGTAGACGGTTCAAAAATGATGACATCTCCCTTTTCATTTCCTTGAAACGGTGTTAGTCGTCTCGTTTCCAGACCGCATGAGAAGTCGTATACCTACCGAAAGCGACGTTCCCATTTCGCATCCAGGTGGCCACTTTGAGTTGTTCGAACGATGCAAACCTTGCAATCACTGTCCCTGTAAAAATATCCCAAACAATTGCAGTTTTACCGACATCATAACTGAGCACTAGTCTCCCAGCACCACGCTCACTGACATTGTCAACCGAAATGAACTCAATATCCTCCTGGTGGTTTTCAAAGCGTCTCTCGAGTGCCAAGGTATCATGGTGAAGACAGGAAATCACGGAGCCTTGGGCGTATAGGAAAAGCGACGCCGTTGATGCACAGGGTTCAAACCGAGAAGTCGATGCTTGCGGTGGTGGGATCATGGTCGGCGCTGGTGGTTTCATTGCCGAGGATCTCAAGTCTGTAGTCATTCCTGTATTCCATGACAAGTCGACCATTTCCGAAGAGCACACTTGTGAGTCAAGCTTGTCCTTCCGAATGTGGCTTCCTACCCTGCTCGGCCAGTTCTCGTGCGTAGCGAAACGGTGGGGGGGCAATAGCAGTCGTTTCTCGAAAGATAATGTTCGCGATCTGACGCAGAGTAGGCTCGGGAGTGAGCGCACGAGAGCAGACTAAGTGATTGACACTCAGATTATCATGCTCACAAATGCTGATACTCTTGTTCTGCGAGACAGTATGAAGTATGGATTGGGTGTTGGCCTGGCCCACAAGAATGGCTTTCGCACGCCTCCGAGCGTTTAGCGGAATAGAAACACAGAACTAATGTTGATGAATAAGGATATAAAGAAATGGCCGGAAAAAAGCCACAAAAGAATCTTCAGAACAAGGCCGTGGACAAAGGTATGGAGAATACTGATGGGGCGATCAAGAGTTGGGGGAGGATTAGAGATTCTTGCAGCCCGGAAATGATCAAATTGAACCTGGTAAGATATGCGGACGCAGACAATAGCACAGAAGGAACAATGCAGTGAGAAAGAGCGTGTGAACTAAGCAGGCTACCACGTTTGGAACATACACCATGCACGAGGTTTGAAAGAGGCTTTGTGACAAGTCGACAGGGGCTGAAGTTTTGTTTAAAAAAAGACGTTCCCTGGCCAGGAGAATCCGGGGTTTACAACAGAGTAGTCCAAGAGAAAGTTGAAAAAGCACAAATTGTACACCTCGTTTTGTAAATTATTAATCTCGGATGGCGCCAGCCTCTATCTCCGCGCCGTGTGTATCTAGACGTGCCTTTAGGGTCTGAGACGTCGCAGAGGTAACGGCCACAGTCGCTCAGAATATCGAGACTTCAAGCAATGGAAATTAGCGCCAAGGGGAGTTGACGGCGCTTCCGAGGACCAGGATGTCACCAGCATGAGAGAGGAGGGGATCGTTCTGGGACATAATTAGCGGACGATGGTCAAGAAGACCCATCGAGCGGCATTAAAAGCTGTCGGTGGCCCTCGCATGGCACACCAACTAGTATGCAGCAACGGCACAAGAGAAGCATGGGACAGCCAGTCGACCTAGCAGAGTCCGATCGCTGTCCTAGTGAGATTTCATTGCGATACTATCGGTAAGTTCTCGGTGGAGCAGCAGGATAGCCAGTTACCGTAGTACCTAGGGACCTGATCTAACCATCAAGATGAGGCGCAGGTTCTGGAGAGGGAGGGAAGAGAGTTTGGGACTATCGGAATCAAGTTGAAGTCCGCAGGTCCAATTATTGCACGGAAATGGGGAGTGAGTGTAAGACTCTCGTCCTAACTAGGGAAACTGAGCGGGAGTGAGATAGAGCATGCCAGTCAACGGTGAGTTCTGCATGGCTCGCGGCGGCTGTCAGGGACCTTGACGGGCGGATCAAACTCGGGGGAGCCCCGCATGATTGGTCCGCCCGGTGCAGAAGGCGTTTCTTCAAGCCTAAGCTGCTGCAGGCCTCATCACTCCCACACACCAATCACCCGCCCTGAAAGCTCCGTTGTCGCTGGTCAGTAAGCAGGGCGGCGCGTAAAAGGCCATCCTGGCATCTGAATGGTTGCTCGTTGCAGCAAAGCCCAGCGACTCTGTGCCAATTGTAGGATGTTGCTCCCGAGGAAAGGGTCATTGCCAGCATCAGGCGATATGCTGGTGGTTATCGAATCACGTTCTACCCATGACAATGTACACGTTACCTGAGGAGACCAAGGTTAGACCTAGGAACGCTAGGACTCAAGTACAGACTTTCCTGGCAAGACAAGGTCTGTGCTTCGAAGGTTGGGGGGATTTATTTGGACGAATGCAGCGATAATGAGATATTTGCATATGGCCAATGAACTCCATGTCGGGCTTGATCCCGACCAACATGCACGGTTGGTCACTTGCAATGTTAAGGCAGACCGAGCCGTGTATGCCTATCACCGGAGCGAACTGCGACTGTAACACGGGAAAGAAAACCGTCCTCGACATTGCCGGTAACTATGGCATCGCACGGTGGTATGGGAATTGAAAGCCACTGTGATTGTGCCACCTCAATATCACCTTCACGCGATCTCGAGCGATATGACATGGAACTAGGACGATGACGTACGGCGTGGACGAGTCTTTCATAGTGGGACATTGATAGTGGCGGGAGAAATGTGATGTGACTAGCAGTGTGACTAGTGTCGTGACTGGCTTTCTTAGCGTCTGTGAGAAATCCCCAATGATTGCGGGGTTGGATGAGGCGCTCGGTCCACTGTCTTAGATGTTTAGAGAGGCGGTATAGCTGCCATCGAGAGTGTGTAGAAGCTGACTTTCTATAGGCGGGAAAGTGAGTATTGTTTATATCGAAGTATGCTGAACTAGAAGCGGATGCTGCAGCCTGTATGACTTGACCATGGAGCGGCACGAAAGAATTGGCTAGATAGTGACGGGATGTAGATATTGCTTAGGATTGGACTGAAGAGGACAACGCAGTCAGTTGGTTGATTAAAAAATGGTCCATGACTGACGAGTCGATAGTGTACAAACTTCATACTACTCTGTACTGTGCATTCAGGTAGGTAGACCGGGCAGTTACTATTCTAGCTATTCTAGGCCGGGCCTAAGCGGGGCGCGATAAGGCGGAGGGTGAGCACACACGCTAATCTATTCTTGAAAATCACATGACCATACACAATTCTGCCAGTGCTTTCCTCCGCGGCGAAAAATCGGCCCGTGATATGAATTTCCGCCATCTCCAAAATCTTTTGGGCCTCTACTAAATCATCTTAAGGAATAATTAAGTTTCAAGGAACAGTACGATATAGCCTGTTCTTCTCTTCGATCGATTCCAGAAATCTGGCTCTATCACTACCACATATTTCACTAAACAAACATCACGATGGGTGTGCAAAAGAAGACTCGCAAGTTTGCGCAGGTCGGTCCGCGCCCGGAATCCCCGAAGAGAGTTCAATACTGACCTCCCACTGCCAAACAGATGAAGCGCACCATCAAAGCCCGCGATGAGCGCCTGAAACCCGATAACAAGAAGCAGGAGAAGCCCAAGGAGAACGAGTTGACCCGTCACATCCCCGTCGCGCCCTCGAACATGTTCTTCGCCGCCAACACTGCTCTCGGCCCTCCCTACCACGTTCTCGTCGATACCAACTTCGTCTCGCACGCCATCCGGGCGAAGCAAGATCTCCTTACCTCTATGATGGATCTGTGAGTTTGTGTGAATCCCAGTTGGTGGCAATAGGGATGATGCTAAGACTTGTGGAACCAAAGGTTATATGCGAAATGTATCCCGACATTTTCGGATTGCACGATTGCCGAATTGGAGAAACTGGGGGAGAAGTACCGGCTGGCGCTCCGGACCGCCAAAGATCCCAGATGGGCTAGGGTGAAGTGCTCCCACAAGGGCACGTATGCAGATGACTGTATCGTGGATCGGGTGAGTGGAGACTTTTTTGTGGCAGTGTGTCATAGCGCGCTAATTGTCGCTGACTCTAGGTGTCGAAACATCGCATTTACATCGTGGCGACCAACGATAAGGATCTGTGTCGTCGTTTGCGCAAGATTCCGGGTGTGCCGATCATGAAGGTCGCAAGAGGGAAGTTCACGATCGAGAAGCTGCCCGACTCTTTGGACTAAATGCGCCTACCCATTCTGAAAGGGTCCGGATTGGACGACAGATGTTATTTCTTCTTGATACCACTTCATCGCACGATACTGCACGACTACACGACTCGAGTACGGATCTTCACACCGTGCCCAGGGCACTTCCTCGTCTAACGAGATGGCACCTTGTCTGGCAGACCAGGTTGGCCACCACTCGACTCCATGCATGAATTCAGTCTGCAGGATACGACGAGACACGCCATACGAAGCTTGCGAGTCACGTCACACAATCATAACGATACCCGGGGGATGATATTTTGTGGGGCATGCATGGTAGATAATTGAGGGTGGCTTGATAGCCTTGTCAAACCAGAACCTAAATAGAAGATCAGAGCACAATGAAGCTTCGACGCATATACCGGCATATACCAGCCATTGGAAACCTCGGTAGTAGTATGCATAGCTCGTATTATGAGTCACCAGGCTCGTTTCATAACTAAGCACCCAGCTCCAGCATGCGGGGAAACAAACAGCCTTATCTATACCGATAACCCCACTCGACTCCATCAACAACAACCGCTACAACCGCCACCATCTTGAACCTCAAAACCACCCCCCAAGCACACCAATTCCCATAAAACTCCTTTCCCAGCGCAGCCAGAAACACAATGACGACCCCCCCAGAACCCGAAACAATCGTCATAATTGGGTACGTCCCCATCTCCTCCTTCCCCTCATCCCCTCCCACACACAAACTCACCAACCAACCCACTAAACCCCAAGCATTCCACTATCAGAGCCGGCGTACTAGGCCTCAGCACAGCCCTATACCTCCAATCCCAATCCCAATCCCACAGCACCTCCTCCAACACGAAAATCCTCCTCCTCGCCCGCGACTTCCCGCACACCACCTCCCTAAACTACACCTCCCCCTGGGCGGGCGCACACTACCGCCCCGTCCCCGGCACCTCGCCGCAACATCGCCGCGAAGCCCTCCAAGCCCGCCGCACCTACACCCACCTCAAGACCCTGGCCGCCACGCAACCCGGCGCGGGCGTCGCGCGCTGCCCCGCGGTGGAGCATCTCGAGCAGCCGCCGCCCGAGTACCTCGAACCAGAAAGTATACAAGCTGCGTATGCCAACGTGGACGGGTTCCGGCGCTTGTCGGGGCACGAACTGCCGGAGGGGGTGCGGTGGGGGGTCGAGTATGAGACCGTCGTCATAAATCCGCCGGTGTATTGTCAGTGGATGCTTGAGGAGTTTGTGCTACGCGGGGGGGAAGTGAGGGAGTATACGGTGGGGGATGTGCGGGAGGCGTTTTTTGTTGGGGCGGGAAGGCAAAGGAAAAGGAGGGTGAGGACGGTGGTGAATTGTTCGGGGTTGGGGTTGGGGGCGGATGAGAAGGCTTTTATTATTCGAGGTATGAAGCCCGATAACACTACTTACCTAGGGGGCATCTCCCTTCCCGGCTTTTGTTGTTGTGGTGGTGGTGGTGGTGGTGGAAGCTCTACTTGGATCTATCTATGCTGCTGACACTCCCCCCCAAATGTCTAGGACAAACCTGTTTAGTTCGGAACCCATGCGCCGTGACGATGACCCGCCAGAATAGTGATGGGTCGTGGTCATTCTGTATCCCCCGGCCGCTGGGAGGCGGCACGATCATTGGGGGCACCAAGCAGCCGCATGACTGGGATCCGTACCCGTCACCGGACACGCGAGCCCGGATCCTGGCGAATGCGGCCAAGTGGTTCCCTTTTGCGGAGGGGAGTGAGGGGAAGTTTGATGTCATTCGAGATATTGTGGGGCGGCGGCCAGCCAGAGAGGGTGGCATGCGGATTGAGGTCGAACGGCTGGAGGCCGGCGATGGGGAGCGCAACGTTGTCCATGCGTATGGGGCTGGTGGACGCGGCTTTGAGATCTCGTGGGGTGTAGCTGAGGATGTGTTTAAGCTCATGGCGGAGCATGGTCTGGTCCAGCAGAAGGCCCTGCTGTAGGTTACTGATCAAATTCGTGGCATAAGCACTTATGATCGCGACAACAGGAAGCCCTGAATTCTGTGGCTTGAAATTTGTGTACATTATAATTAAAACTCCCTTCTCCACCAAACTGTTTTGTATTGACAAATAAACTCGAAGAACAGTTCCGCATGTGAGAGGAAGGAAAAAGACATAAGCTGCCAAAGAACGCCCTCGTCCTCTATGAAGAAAACCAGTATGCCAGAGCATTAGTCCCAGTATCAGAAACTTCCAGGCGGTTGCTGAAGCACCTCACAACTTAATAGCAGTAATCGACTCTTCAGAAACCTGGAAGAGGTGGCAGAGGCGCGAAAAGACTGGGCTTGCCACTGCAGATGTCCCTATGATCAGCTGGCATAGACAGGTTCTGCAAGTGGTCCGGTGCTTCAATGATCACGGCCATGAGACGTGTTTCAACATGGAATTCGATATGGCAATGGAACATCCAGATACGTAAAGGCTGCCAAAGTTAGCTTAAGGGAAAGAATGCGCGATGCCTGGGTACTTATCTGGATTCATCGCCTTGAAACGAAGGACAGCATGACCCTTGGGTTCGACCATAAGAGTGTCTCGTCGCGATGGAACTGCCGAGATATTGCCATAGCCGTTGAACGCACCACCGCTCGGGTATGTACGTTGAAGGATCTGGAAGTCATGTCCATGTAAATGCCAAGGGTGCAGGTTGTTGTGATTGTTGTTGATTACAAGCTCCACAATGTCACCATACTCAACCACATATTGATTGATGGAACCATATATCGATGGGTCCAAAGACTCTTCACTGCCGGCAGCCATGGCTGTATACAGGGTAGGCTCCTTGGGGGTTTCGTATGTGTTGCCGTTGATAGTGTAAGTGGGAACACCGTCCACCTGGGCATAGTTGAAGTCCAAAACGATTTGTCGGGAAACTGGCTCAAGCAGCGGGAGGCCATCTATCGGTGTGAGCGTTACGTCGTCCAAGAACTCCAGACTTGCGTTATGAATCTGAATATCTGGGGATGGTAAGAAGGGCGCGTCTTCGTTGTACATCAACCATGCAGTGCCGTTGGCATTGTATCCTTCAGGCATCTTGCGGTTCTCTCGGATAAACATCTCGTCGATATCAAGGCCGTCCCAGATTGCATAGTTCCTGCTTGTATCGTTCTTTGTTGTTAGAAGTAGGTCGAGGCGCTGCCCAACAGTCATTCGAAGATATTGAGGCGTCGCGAGTTTCGGTTCCACGAGAATTCCATCGGCTCGGACGACAGTCAGATCGTGGTCCTCAACAATGAACGCATGTCCGGCCCAATTCCCCATGCAGACAACGTGAATGAGATAGGTCTTGTTGGGCTTGACCGGAATCTTGGTTCCGACTGCATCATTGAACAGGACCGCATCTGGCAACGGCTCTAGTCCAGCCGGCCCGTCCGCCGGATAGACGTAATCTTCGGTGAGCTGAGGCATTTGTCTGTTGTACCAATCCGAAAGTGTAACAGTGATCTCCTCGTCGTAATGGAAAGGTAACGGCGCCGTGTCGTGAACAACAATCGGTCCTCGGATTCCATCGGGATACTGGCCTTCTTGGTGGGAGTGATACCAGTACGTTCCGGTTTGATTGACCTGTTTCGTGTGTCAGTAACGCCACCAGAATAATCATGTTAGAGTAGAGCTCATTACCGGAATAACGTATCGCATGCGCTGCTTTGGTTTGATCGGGCATTGAGTTATGTCAGGCACACCGTCCATAAAGGTATTGTAGTTCTGATGAAATCCATGCCAATGGATTCCAGTGGATTGGTTTCCGAGGGCATTGTAGACATCTACCACCAAGTTGTCCCCAATATGGACGTCAATCTGTGGGCACGGCCATTGACCGTTGATTCCGATGATGGGTCGCTCAACACCATTTGGTGCTGCGTTGACCCATGTGATATTCCAGTCGAGATACACGTTCTTGCCAAATGCTTCTTGTACGAGCCCCGTCAGGCCCAGAAGCAAGAAGGTTCGGAACATGGCCACAACCATGAGTTTATCATCCACGAAGAATGAGTGTGATGAGCGAGGAGTGCTGAGTATATACGATTAAAACTTGAAACTAGAAAATGAAGGACGAAAGTAAGCTAGGATAGAAAATCATTCGAGGACGTAAGTGTATGCATATCAATACGCACACTGACCCGTCTCGGCTCGGTGTCCATCCAAACAAACACATACCTGAATAGACCGTGATTAAAAATCGAAAAGTCGAGCCGAGCACAAACGAGGCACTCCTACCTAGCACTCGAAAATTCTTGTAAAACACCGTAGAATGCTGACATGCAAATTTCGTTACTGCAAGGGGCAAGGTTAGGGACCATCCACCACCACAGCTCCAGCCAGCCAAGGAAATTGGCCCCCCATGTAGATTCCTTCCTAATGCACCCTTACAAAGAATTTCCGAGTCGTGGCCGCGTAGAGCGTTGGTGGATTAAACTTTTCTCATACACCGAATGATTGATGCCTAGTGGCGGACAGGCTGAGTATGAAGGAGTCGAGACAATGGGTTCTCGCGAATGACAATGTGAGAAACCACTGTTCCACAGCTCATTTCACATGGCATTTTCACGACATTCGGACTATTCAGCGGAGGTTTCGGACAGTCAGATCAATTCACCAACCCGAGGCCGATCTCCTAATATATAACTGGGATTTGATTGATTGACTGAGACATGGGCCTTCCAATCGCACGAAGCAGCGACTGGCTCCACTCGGCAGCTCAGGTTCTATCTGCAGGGGACCATACGGAAGGCCCGTAGAAAGAGTAGTTCGGACGAGTATACTCGTATAGAAGCATAAGCAAGATGATCTTGGAAGTGGCAATGGCCAAGAGAGGTAATCGATATTGTCTTAAGTTGCTGGGACGAGGTCCCGGTCTGGATCGATGCTTTCCAAGAATAGCGGAATGGATGACCACAAAGCCACCAATTTCAGACCATTGTCCATTCTGGCAAAGTGATGATGTCAAATTCTAAGCATTGAGCTTGATTTTGGGTTGTCATATCCGGGTTGTCTTTCAGTCGTCCGTCCGTGGGCTCAAAGTGGCACGTTTGCTGGATGTACGAGTAAGACAGGCAGTGCACATCAAGGTCCAAGAACAACTCCAATCCAGATTGACTTAGTCTCATCAAAAGAGAGTAGGTTCCTGAAAGGGGTTAAGGTCGTTCCCATCCAAGGGGTAATGTGATGATTGAGTTAGCCGTATGAGGCAAGGAAGTTGTCAGGGCCGGGATGGAAACGACGGTCGAGTTGAACGATATTCCATGCGGTGGATAGAGTTCCCGTGGAGCGAGCTTAATTTCTACCTTGGTTGACTTGAAATACGACCAAATCCCCTGCTTACAATTTCTTTAATGCCCCAAATCTCCCTATTATGAAGTCCTTACTTCAAGCATGATAGACAGTATATGACCACTCACACTTGGTACACATACTGAATTCTAATTCAACTCTGCTAGGCCGTCCTTACAAGCACGGAATAGCTCGCATTGGCATCTTCGCTTCCCCTGGCGAAGTAAGAAGGGACTGGTTCGATGGTATCCTTACAGTCGGCACGAAGTATTTGTGCACGAGGCAAACTCGACCGTACTTGGCCTTTGCATCCTCAATTCCTGGAACACAATCCCCTAGACAGGCTTTGATTCCTTGCCGGTATGTTAACCTGGCATATGTGACTAGACCCTTGTATATCCCATTGTCGGCTTGTGCTTTTCTTGGATCCTACTGCTTTATTATCAAAGACATGTACCATCATCCATTACATAACCTCTCCAACAGTTGCCTCTCAGTAATCCGAGCTCTTCTCGATTATGCTGCTTAACTGGTCAGGAGCTCACCGCATTGGCAGCCATTTCATGCTCCAAGCTCGCCATCACCAACGGCGCCGCCCCGAACACACTGTTATATGACAGCGGCTGGGTAGTGTAGTACTAGCATGTAATCAGTATTTCATCCAACCATATCCGTACAGCAGTCACGGAGTCTCGAAATGTGTGGGGAAGGGTGAAAACATACCTCATATGTCGGATCTTCTAACGTGCAGACCCCAACTGTGCCATTTACACTCAACGTGCCGCTATCGTCCCGGACCACTCGATTCTCGAGCAGCCAACTATAGCACTTCTCCGCCGTCTGCTTGTAATCTTTTCCGCTCTCGGGGTGAACACCCGTCAGATAGCCTAGCCGCACACCCTTGAGAATGGAGTAGGTGAAAATGGCCGATCCACTCGTCTCGATATAATTGCCTTGCTCCCCTCCATGCTCCATCACCTGCCACCAACACCCCGTGGTCTCGTCTACATCGTTGATGATCGTGTTTGCCAGATTGTAATACTTCTTGTAAGCGTCATCTCGTTGCGTCTGATTCAGAAGGCCAGGGAATTCATCTGCATTATGGAGAAGCTCCACGAGTCCCATGTGGTACCATCCGAGGGCGCGATCCCAGACGTATGGGCTTGCCCCAGTAGTCTTATTCGCCCACGGGGCTGACTTGGAGGCGTCGTAGCCATGCGCCATCAGGCCAGTGTCGTGGTGACAATGGTCCTTAAATTGATTGAGGTCTTTGCTGAGGTTCTCAGCCAGGGTGGCGTTGGTGGGCTCGAAGCGGTTCTTGTACACGGTAGTAAAGGCGCCCAAGGGATAGGTCTCATCCAGATAGCTGAGGTTCGGCCGGGCGTTATAGTACCAGAAGCCGCCTGTCTTTTAATTAGTTGATGGGTCGAAGTGGGCCAGCCAGGTACGTTGTCTCACCCTCTGAGTTGCGTTTCCTGCCGTCGTATGCCTTTCTCAGAGCATCAAGGCCTTGCTTGTAACTTTCGTCACCGGACTTCTCATATCTGTAGCCGTCATAGTGTTGTGTCAGATCAATGGTCAGGGTTCTAACAAGAATGAACCGCAGGTTCAACACTCACTGGTAGTACAGCCCGTTAGCCGTGGCAAATATGTCCATGGGAGCTTCAATATCGCCAGTCACGTTCAACACTGTCGGCAGAATACTATCGGTAGCCTCTTTCAGATATGCATCCCAGTCCTCCTTTGCGCATGATGCAGCATCGTAGTACTCCTTGAGATGGATAACGCTAAGTTGGAACAGTCCAAGCTTCAAGGAGAGTGCGATATCATTTTCAGTGTCAGCGTTCAACAGCGCATCTTTGCGAGCGATGACACTATCGGCCAACCATGCTGAGTATGGGCGTACTCCGTTCTCGCATGTTTGTCCCGCCGCTGCCACCATGGAGAGGTGACTTGCGAGCCCTGGGAGCACAAATGTGCTCAAAGCTTTCATGCGAACCATATTGTGAGATGTTGTTGAAAGAGCAAAAGCCGGGAAAGCAGGCCTGCCGGTCTGAGAAGCCTCTTAAGTGATAGATGCAGTTCAGATGGATTGTGTTGTTGGCATGTGCTAGATGGGGGATATCGGCTGTCGATCAGTCAATAGTCCGGAGTAGCAAGGACTGAAACCTGCAGTAAGACATTGAACATCGACTCTCGCTCAAGGTGAGCAGTAGATCCTCGTAACTCCATCATGAAGCGCAGGGGGGAGTGGCAGGGATGTCACATTCTCAAGTGAGACAATTAGGCAAGGTTTCCTGCCAGGCGTGAGGGAGCCTGGGGCAGCAAAGAAACATAGGCGCCATCACGGGACCGGATTCTAACAAAGAAATAACTGCTGATTTCCTCCCTTTGGCTGTCAAATCCGACGAAATACGTTCAGCATTGTGGCTACTTGAGGTACCTACCTTAGGTTAAGACAGATTGTATGAGAAATCTATAGATCCGCTTTCAAGAGCTTCCCCATCATGGCAGGCCATACTGGGCGCTTCTAGGCCAGAATAAAGTAGAAATAGTTCCCAGATCAAATCCAATCGACAGTTGTCATCTATATACAATACTGTCTCAAGTGATCCGAGTAATGCTAACATCCGACGCTGACAGCCAGACATATGCATTGCTACTCACCTCGTTCCCAAGGGAGGAGAGTACTTCGGAGGGGGAACTTTAACTGCCTGCGGCTCTTCGTAGCGTGGTGGACTGAAGCCATTGAGTCCCGTGTTCGATACTGGCTTTTCCTCTCGTCTCTTTCGCCGCTTAATGTAATAGAGCGCTCCGAGGACAACTATAAGTCCGACACCAATCACAACACCAACCACGATACCGGCAATGGCCCCTGTGCCTAACTTCTTAGAGTGTCTTTTCGAACTGCAGTTTACATAGCCTTTTGAGCCATTTTTGACCTTCATGATGGTTTCCTTCACGGATTGACAATCCAAGGAGAGGCTGCTATGGACGCTGAAGCTGGAAAGGGATTTCAGCTTAGGAAATTTCACACTTCATCCAACGCAGTTAGCTGAGGGTAAGTTCCTGTACATGCTGGCAAACTCCGTTTAGACCCACCTTGAGATTGCTCCGTACAAGTCAATAGACGACGCCTCTTCGAAAGGAAGGTCAATGGGTAGCGAATCACCAGCATCGACCCGGAAATATCCACTCATGTTCCGCAATTCCGGCATGGAAAGACTAGTATCCTCGGGAGAAGCATTGGTTAGCCTGCATCAACCTCAAGCTCTCGATAGAGGCAGAAACCCTCACCTGGAGATGTTCCCTCCCAAAATCATGTACGTAGGCGCATTATTGAGACGCGGAAAAGTCATGTTGATAGCTGATGCATTGGATGAGGCGCGCCGGAAGCCAGCAAATCTAGCTTCTTCCTTGATGGTTGTGAGGTTCGGCACTGCTAGTCTACACAAGCTGCTGTCAATGTTCAATTCTGGCGTATGACACGAGAGTGAAGGCAGACAGGCGCACCCTGATAAACTTCCAGCGATTTCTATGCTACCCACCGATTGAAGCGAAGGAAGAGATATATATAATGGCGTGGTTGAAGACTGGTTTTTCTCGCATCTATCCTTATTGCAGATAGAAAAGTATCCAGAGACACTCCGAAGTGAGTCTAAGCGCACACTGCATTGGATGCACCAGCACACAATCAATATCGTCTCAAAATTGCGTAAAGACAGCCCGAGCTCACCTGGAAACATCGCCAAAGATCTCCGCATATCTGACAGTTTCCAATGATCGCAGATCAACGTTCTGCACATAATCCATTCTTAGCGCCCATCCGGCCGTCCTCAGCTTCGGCGCGGACAAATTTGCCAAAGTCGAAATACCCAAGAGGTACATATCACTCCCCATATACTCGAGATCTGGAAGGCTGATCGACGTCGGTGCAGGTACCGCGGGGGTCCCCTCCCATCCATATCCGATCTGTCCAGTGATGTTGCGAACGTTGGGTAGGTAGAAGGAGCCGGTATAGCTTGTCGCGATCACGATGCTTCCATTGATCGTTGTGCAATTTTTCGCGATGGCGTCCAGGACAGATTGATCGGTCGCATTGTAGGAGTATCCGTACTCACCCAAAGGCGGGAGGCATACTTGAGCCACGGCTAGTATGACAGATCAGCATGAGTCAAGATACTGGGCGCAAAAAGAGACGAAGGCATTGCTACTTACTGATTGGGAGCAAACCAAATATTAAGGCCAGTAGAAGCCTATCTAGAAAGCGAATACTCATCTGCGCGAGAAAGACTGCAGAAGTAGTCTCTCAAAACTGAGACGATGAAGAGATAGGTCAAGGGAAAAGGAGGGTGAGAGACACATGCGCCATGGGGGTCTGACAGATCAAGAAAATGTCAGTCTCGTCAGACACTCCGACAATCAGCCCAGTTAACAAATAATTCCCCAAAATGGGCAATGTTATTCTTATGCAACGTCGAAGCGCACAAGGTCATTGGCGGATGCTCACAAGCCAAGAGCCATGGCTCATTAATAGCTGGATTGAACGAGACAGGGTCCAGCTTCTCCATCCTCTCATGTTATCTTGACAATAACTCGAGTATAGTTTTTCCGTTTCGTTGAGCGAGCTCGGCTCGAATTCAGGGTAGGCAAATCGACAAAATATTCAATATATATCTCGGCAGCTGTTTCATGACATAGATAGGGTTGAGGCCCGTAAGAGAACCTCCGATTCGGCCGTGGGAGTGGGGGAAGTGGAAAGGAACTAGAGACCGGACGGGGAGCGTGCGAGCCTGGGGTCAACACCACAACTCCTCTTTCCGCAAGTGGTACTAATACTTGATGTTTCTACTGGAAGTGACAACAAAAGGCCAAAGACAACGCTGACTTGTGTTGAGAGAAAACTGTACGTACAAATATGGCATTCTAAATCATGTCAGTCATCCTCTCACCGCAGACACATTGATCTATCTCAATCCTGTGTAATCTCCGCTGCCTTGACGGTCCTCCTGATCAATGCTTTAAGCATTGAATCGACCTCGACACCCTTCGCAGCGTATCCAGATGGGAGGAGCCAAAGGCGACACGAAAATCCGTTCACGTTAACCGTAAGAGCCATCAAACCCAGTTGCGGAGGTCAATACAAACGCTCATGTAGCATTTCCACAACTCAAGAGCATTGCATCCACCAGCCATCAACACGATCAACATCTCGGGCCCGGACAGATGGCCCGGTACGCCGATTGCAACGTGGGAGGTCCGCAGCCCAAACACCCAAGTAAGTTTTTTTTACTTGGGAGCCTCGCACCAACTCACTCAACCCTCACCTTCTTGTGCGATCTGTGCATCATTCGAGACCGGCACGGGTTCACCGTTGAGCTTGGCCAGGCGCTCCTCTTCCTTCTGCTCGCGGATCCTCTCCGTCTCCCGCCGCAGATCATCCAAATTCCAGACTCCATCGGCCTCATCCTCACTCTCACTCTCACTATCATCAGCGCGCCAGTTGCCGCTTTCGAACAATGTACGTCCAGTGGCTTCCTTGGCCTTCTGAGCTTGCTCTTCAGCCGCCTTCTTGTCCAAGCGCTCCTTCTTCCACTTAGCGAACGTCTCGGGCGTTACAGGTGTTAAATCGCCAGTGAGCTTGTGGCGTTCGGACTCCAACCAATCCTCCAGTGTCAAGGTGTTAAGCGGCGACTTGTCCATCAAAGCCTTCTCTGCCGCCTTCTGCTCCTTGGTCTTCAGGACGAATCTAGCCAGGTTGTCAGCTGCGCGTACAGTACTGCGGACCGGAGGAATGCAACGTACCCTGGTGGCAAGCTGTGCTTGTACATGCACTTGTCGCCTCCATTGGGGCAGGTCCAGAACCAACCATACTTCTGGTTCTCGACCGCTTCGATAAAGTATTTGCAGACCTTGTCTGTCGTGGTCCGGGGGTTTCCGTGCTTGCTCATAACGACCTTGCGCAATTTCTCCTCGTCCCAATCCTCCATGTTGTCCTTCTTCTTGGCCTCTTCCTCCGCAGACTTGCCGTCTCGAGAATCGGTGTACAAGTCTCTCTTGGCGGCCTTGCGCTCGAGACTCAAGTCGTGACTGAATTTACACTTGCGGCCCTTCTCACAGTTGCCCTGCTTGTAGAAAACGCAAACAACCGTCTTCGGATCGACACCGAAAGGAACCTTCTGGACCTGTACAGGTTTGAACAGCTCGGCAGCCTCCTTTCTGGCTTGCTCGGCAGCCTTCTTCTCGGCCTCACGGCGAAGCTTCTCGGCCTCCTTCTTCTTTTCATCGGCATTCTTGTTGGAAGCCGCTTGCGCATTGAGTTGGGCGATCTGTCGTTTGGCGGAACCACCTTTTTTCTGCAAGGGAAGATACCGGTCAGCGAATTGGTCTTTTTCCTTTCTTTTTTCTTCTGGACGATAGGTAGGCGCAACAAGGCGAAGGTTTTCATGAAAAGACTTCACGTACGTTTTTCATACCGAAGGTCTGCAAAGGGATCGCTAAAGTTAGCCTTACGACGGACGTAATGAGCATTAAGCCACGAGGGTTCAAACCTTGTCCTCGACGGTGGCCTTCTTCTTCTTAGGCTGATCAGCTTTCTTGGGAGGCATGATGGGCGGTGTTTATCTTATTGCGCTTCTTTCTGAAAACGAAGAGGAGAAGATATAAAGCGGTTGCTCAGATAGAGACGTATGCGCCCTCGAATATAAAATTGGAAAGTTGGAAGGGAACTTCCACAGACAAGCCGAAACTGAAGCGGGCTGACGAAATGGGTACAGTCCGCTAAGCGGAGGGAGGGGGAGTAAAAATTACAATAGACAAGACAAAAAGATGTCTCTGAATGAGAGTCGGCCTGACGTCGAAACCGGGTCAGACAAAAAAAAATCACAACGCCGTGGCTGGGAAGGATAAGAATCAACAACCGAGATGGAGGTTCAAAGGAACAAGAAGAAAGGCCGTGTGGTGTGCAGTCGTGGTGGTTGCAGGTTCCTCCACATTTTCAAGGTGTGGGTTTCCAAGTGTGGCGGAACAACTTCACATAATCTGCCTCTCCGCCAATTGAGTTGAATAGCCAAACTGCGGGCGAACCCTCACCGGCGCATTGATTGTCGGATTTGACCACCAAAAATCTCTTCACATGGCCGGCATTGAGCTGATCTACTATGCTCAGAACAAGACAAGGATATGTTAACAGCAGTTGTCCCTGGCCGGTCGATGTCCCCGACTACTGTTTGTTCTACGGTCGCAAAGCCACATCTGAAGGAGGGGCGCCATGGCGCTATTGACATCATCGAAGAAAAAATTAAGCATGCTGTAGGGCTATACGGGAAAATCACGGAGGGGAAGGTCTTCCTATTAGCAAAAGCGTCGTTGGCTATTTCGTCATCTCATACCAATGAAGGGAAAATAATGAACTATTCGCTTCCTTTCCAACTTGTCCTTCTCTTCTGTGCCTCTCTGGGCAGGCTAATAAAGCTAGCTAAACCTGTCGTTCGACTTTGTGCCAGTTAGACACACTATGAGTCGATCAAGTCATTATACGATAGACCGAGCGTGATGGGCTCAATGATGCTAACTGTGATAAGTGCTCTCGTTTATGCCTCCATTCTCCACATCCGTAAGTCGCAATGCGCGTCTCGCGAGTATTTCTCGTATTTAAGCGACCTCCTGGATCTTGGCATCCTTGTTATCGCCGGCCTCCTCGAGTTCCGGCATCTCCTCATCCTAGTGGTCGTGTTAGCAAGCGCACATACATGGTCGAGAAGGATAATATTCAGCATACCTCATCTTCGCCCTCGCCTGCATCAGCCTCAGCGCCGCCGAGACCGGAAAGGCCACCAAGCTTGGAGAAATCAATGTTGCCAAGGCCACCGTCCATGCCTCCTTCCATGCCATTGAAGCCGCTGGCGTAGTCATCTTCGGGGGCCTCATCCTGCTCGTCCTCGTCGACCCACTAGCTCCAAGTCAGCCTTGACGATTTCCCAATCGAGAAGGTATGAATAGGGTCACAATACCTTGTCAAAGTCGGTCTTGAGGAAGTGAACCTTCTGAGTCGTCTTCAGCAGACGGGGCCAGTATTCCTCCTTGAGCTCCTTCTTGCGCAACACCAACTCGACCTCACGGTCACTGTGGTTTGTCTTCGAGTTCTCAGGGTCGATCTCGGCGTAAAGGTCGAGAGAGACTTGGTATTTTACGCCCTTCTTAGACTCGCCGGAGAAAGAGACATTGGTGGGGTTGATGCTGAGGCTAGCGGCGTCGCGAGCAACATCGGGAGCCTTGATGCTCACGTAAAGGTAGTTGCGCTCGGCCTCAGTGGCCGAGGAGCGCTGGGCCCATGTAACTGAAAAGAAATTGTCAGTACATCGTGACTGCGAGATAAAGAGCTATCGAGGAAATTGAAGGGTGTTGGGTTGGTCTCGAGTCAAGCTCGAGCCGGGGCGATTTATGACAACCGGCCACCGTGCGAGTCACGAAAACCAAGAGCGGGGAAGGTAGGAATGAGGGACGGAGCACAAGAAACACACCTTCGGGGTGAACCTGAGTTAGAGACATTATGAAAGATGGGGAGATAAGAGATATGCAAGGTTGAAATGTAAGAGAAAAGATGGATCGGATTGGGAAAGTCGAGAAGAGAGAGATTGAGTGAAAGGTGGATTCGTCTAGGTAGGAGAGCAGAGCAGAGCAGAGCAGAGCAGCAGCCGTAGCAGGTGAAATCCAGCCCGCTTGCCTCTAAGCTGACGATCGGCTCAATATGGTGCTAGAAAGTACTGGAACTCTCCCGCCCGCAGGGAGTTTGTTAGGTTTGCAACCTTCTCCGGGGCTCCTATGGATGGTTAATTATGGCCTGAGGCGTCCGATGCATTTATCTCGGCGACGTCACCGCATTCGGGGATGACTCAGCCGGATCTCGCCCGTAATTATCCCTCACAAGCCTGGCTTGACTGAGTGCGGCAGTGCCAGGCACTCCAGAAGCAATGCGAACGACGACAACATTCGACCAGACAAATATAATCTTATAGGTGACTGCTGTTGCTTTTGGCAGTGACACTCTCTATGAATTGAATCTTGTCTTTTTTCCCCTGCAGCCTGACCCGGCGAGACTCGCAAAAAAATCTCCCTCCTATAACCCCGCCCTGCTGCCAAGGTCTCCGGATAAGCCTTCGAGTTCCTCCCGATAGACGGGTGTTCCACTCTTGCTCAACTCAGAAGCCTCGGCCATCAACATACACTTGCAGTACACCTTCACAGCATCCACTCAGCTGCGGCAACCTTAAAGATATTTCAGGATGGAGACCCTTAAGGCTGTCTTCTTCGGCCCCGATCCTCAGGCACAGGTATTGTCACATGCAGGTGTTTACTGGTCGTTCCATCCTGACCCATGTTCTTGATTTAGATGAGAAAATGCAACCAGCTCATCCGTGCCAATACCCGTCAATTAGACCGTGACATCTCCCAGCTCAAGATACTGGAAAGCAAAACACGACAGCACATCGTAAGTGCATCTCGACGAGCCCAACGCAACCCCTCCCAGGCGAAGCAGGCCAATATGGAAGCCAAGACCTTTGCGCGAGAACTTGTTCGGATTCGAAAGCAGTCGACCCGGCTACACACTAGCCGAGCTCAGCTGCAAAGCGTCCACATGCAGGTCAATGAGGCATTTTCGGTGCGCAAGATCCAAGGGAGTCTGAAGAAGTCAACGGGAATCATGAAGGATGTCAACACCCTCGTTCGTATGCCGGAACTGACGGCCACAATGCGACAATTGTCAACTGAACTGGTACGCGCCGGGATCATTGAGGAAATGGTGGATGATGCGATTCCGAATAATGAATTGCTCGAAGACGAGGAGGACGAAGCTGAGGAGGAAGTGGACAAAGTCTTGCAGGAGATTCTCCAGGGCAAATTGTCCCAGGTGGAGGGTGTCAGGCCCGAACAGCCTTTGGAGGAAGCTCCGGAGCCCGAGGACGAGCTCGAGGACCAAGAAGCGACTCTTGCACAAATGAGAGGAAGACTGGAAGCCCTGAAGAGCTGAAGAGACAACGCGAACTTACTCATCATGGTTTAGGATGGCTTAATGCATGCGCCTGCTCGTTATTTCTCTCTCTTACATACTTGCAACCAGTCTTAGATGGCGTTCGATTGGACAGGGCGCGCCAGGCGTTTAATTCTTGATCTCTGCTTTATTCGTTCTGATTTTGGGGGCAGGCCCCGGCTCCTGGAGCTTCGACTACATTGCGTTGTCTTACTATACCGCGCAACACTATGGTCCGATTGATTGGCAATGTGTGTTGTATACAAATATTACGAGATTATCCATTTGCATTATCATCGGGCCGTTGCTTCTCTTAGTCTGGTGCTTGGGCAGCAGTAACTTTGGCATAATCAGAGTCTGAACATAATTCAAGTGCTTTCCCTTAGTCTTATTAAGTCTATTTCCTGATAGATAGGTAGTGAGTGAGTCCTCCAGCCTCAGAATACTGTAGAGAATTCTATTCCAATGAAGCCTGAGTTGTACCTTGAATGGGTGTCGACGGGCGGGAAGCTGGCACTGAACGGGCCTGTGGTGAATCTGTTGAAATGTCGCAACAATCCCCAAATGCGGGTAGCTCGAAAGACCTGACCGGGACTAGGGTGACTCAGCCTCCTCCCCTCCGCCCTTGCTTATCTTCTCCATTCATCCGCCGCCTGTGTTTCCCTTTCTTCATCCATCCATCCCCCATCCGTCTACCTCACTTCTATCATCTTCATCATCCCGCATTATCGCGTCCACTTGTGCGTGGTGTAAACTCTTCTACAGTTAATCTTCACTGTCGACTTATACTGTTCAGCTCGTCCTCCAGCTTCTGGACAAACCTTAATCAGAGCAATCGCCTTCGCTTCCTCAAAGTCGCGAACTCAGTGGCGTATCACCCGCGACTTGCGAAAGCTATCGATCGATCTCTCATTCTTTCTTCGACAGACCCCCAATCAACTACAATCATGTCTGGCAAGTTGGACAAGTCTCTCGACGAGATTCTCGTCAGCCGCCGCCAGGGTGCTCGTCGTCGCGACCGCCGTTCGGCCCCTAAGGCCGCCGCTGCTTCTGTTCCAGTCGGTGGAGTCAAGAAGACCACCAAGACTGCTAAGCCTGCCGGCAAAGTCGCTCAGAATGGACACCCCGTCTCGCGTGAAAGTAAAATCATGGTCAGCGGCTTGGTATGTTTGAATCAAAATCTCTTGCAGAAGCCAAAAGCTAACTCCCCCTCCAGCCTGCCGATGTGAACGAGGCCAATATCAAGGTATGTTGATCGAAAGGCCTTTGCCTTGGGTTTCTATCGCCATGTTTCTTTTCCGAAACCTTCGATGCGCAACGGCTTCACTCGCGTTTCGATCCTTGCCACCGTCATGCATATATCGTCGTCGTGGACTGTGGACATCCGCACGGGCAGCAGTCTCCTTTGACGCTTTCGGCGCAGATATCTGCCTTCGCGCTTCGAAAGCCTATCAAAGTCGAGCTCTGCCGTAGTCTTGCAAATGGCGCATCCAATCCAGAGCGGAGCTCTCTCAGTGTCCCGCCTGGATTGTCGAAGCCGCAGACTATGCTATGGATTATCCTTCGAAGCATGCCTTCACTTTCTTTCCTCGCTCGGTCAAGCTCGAATGAAACCTCTAGTCGGGATTCCCAGGCATCAGCGAGCGCATTGGCATGCCAGCAGTACATCCCACACAACGCCTCAGAAGCGAGTTGTGGTCGAGCGTCATACCATACCACGTGTTTATCGAGCGATGCTATCGTGTTTAGCTGGGGCACGATACATTCTACTTGGGACATTGTGAGAGTATCTATGGCTTGCATTTCTTGAACCGGGGTATTATCGAGGGCATCCGGGGGATCCTGAGTACACGTTTGCCGCCTTTCTGGGATCTCGCATTTCGGGGGACTCATGTGGGACATGCATGCTGGATGGATTTTCCTGTCAACCCTTTGAGGAGCCTTTTACCAGGCATCTGATGACATTATATCTTGTGAGGTTGAAATGAGTGGAGGGGCATGCTGGCCAGGGTTACAATGTTGAATGGAGATTCTACGGTGGACGAGCGAACGGCTGCTCACAGCACCGTACTCGGGAAGAGATGCAGAAGAACTATCCATGCTGACAACTAACTGCCGCTATGTGCTCGCTGATGCTTCTTGATGTCGATGTCGCTTCTGAGGCCGTTATCATGCGTCTTTCGAATTGTGTTCATGCCGATGCTTTCGCAGTTCTGCAACTGAACTTCTTGATTCGATATACTAATTCGATTTTTCCTGGTGCTATAGGAATACTTCACAAAGTCTGCAGGTCCCGTGAAGCGAGTTATGCTCACCTACAACCAGAACGGTACTAGCCGTGGAATCGCATCCATCGTCTTCAGCAAGCCCGACACAGCTGCGAAGGCTGCCAAGGACTTGAATGGCCTTCTAGTCGATGGTAGACCCATGAAGGTCAGTCTTGTTATCGCTCATCGTTATCGTTCTGCTCAATCTCAAGGCACTGACACATAACAGATTGAGGTTGTCGTTGATGCCTCCCACGCGCCCGATGTTGCTGCTCCCAAGCCCCTTGGTGACCGTGTCGCGTAAGTAATCATTCTTTCTGTTCGTTTTTGGTGGTGACTAAGTGTCAATGTGTCCAGTCAAACCAAGCCCAAGCCCAAGCCTGCTACTGCCAACAAGGCCGCTACTAATGCCCAGGGACGTGGTCGCCGTGGTGTTCGTAAGAACGGGCGCACTTCCAACCGCCCCAAGCCCAAGACCGTCGAGGAGCTTGATGCCGAGATGGTTGACTACTTCGCTACCACTGATAACACCGGCCCTGCTGAGGGTAACGCTCAGACGAACGGAGCCCCTCAGCAGCAACAGGCTGCCGCTGGTGAGGACCTTGGCATGGCTGAGATCTCTGTAAGTTCCTTTTTCTCCTCTCGGCTTCTGCACAACCATCGACTAATCACGTGTTCTAGTAAATGATCCACGATACATTTTCATCTGTGAAAACGATGTGAAGATGTCGTTTAAATCCTTCGCCACCTGGCCACACTCTTTGCGCACTCGGGGTCTGCCGGTTGGATTCGAGTCGAATTCCCCTTAACACTTTCATCCCTTTCCTCTTTTTTCCTCCACTTTTTCTGCATTTCGGACTCATGTTGCTCGCGGTTTGCTTTTCTTCGCCTTCACTCCCCCTCATCTTATCCCTGTGTCCCTTTTATTTTTACTTTGTTTTGCCCGTTACGTTCAGGACTTTTCGGTGGTGGGAAGATCGGGTCTGTTATCTGTATCTAATAAAGAAACTTGTGGTCTCAATGCATCTCCTCGCAAGTTCTTTTACTCTGTACTCTTTAGAATCATCGTGCGGGCAGTTTCCTTGGTATCTTCAACCTACACTGTACTGTACAATAGTGCCTTCCTTGTATCGCGGAGTTTTGCGAAGGATACCATCGAGAAGATACCTATCCAAATGGAAGCAGATACATTAAACTACCAAGATCAATGCAAGTATATACGTGAACGAAGAGAAACCCGCGTATCCTTTACTATACACAGGCCAATCATCCCTCCATTTCCCCATCCCCACCCACGGCTTTACTTTACTTACAGACAAATCTCAGCTCCAGGTCCCGTTCGCGGGCCCGAAATACCCAGCGGCCGGCATCTCCTTCCACGGGACCCCGTCCCCGTCTGCCGTGTTGAGGTAGACAGTATTGCCCCACCAGTCGGGGAACACGGCGCCCGGGTAGGAGATGCAGAAGAAGATAACGATGCCGCTGAGGGCGAGGCCGGTGTCCAGCGCCGCGGCGAGGATGTAGTTGTACTTGGTCCACCAGGCGAAGAAGCGGCGTTTGATGAGGTGGTTGAAGATGAAGTTGACGAGGGCCCAGCTGGAGTAGTTGATTCCGGTTGCTGTGGGGGTGGGAGAGTAGATGATTAGTGTAGGACAAGAAAGGAGGGGAGTAGGGAAAGGGGGGGAGGTGATGAGTGGGTAACTTGGAGTTCGGGGGACTGAGGAGAGAAAGGGGAGACTAACCTGGTGGGACGTTGTAGGTGCCCACGAAAATGAGGGGCCAGTTGACCAGCTTCCAGAAGCGGTTGCGGGTGTACTTATACAAGACGTATGTGACCAGCGGGGCGATGGCCCCAATCCAGAAGAAATGCAGCAAGGATGAATAGATCTTGCCGACGGAGTAGAGACGACGCGGGCCGACGAGACCCCAGATCACTGAGGAAGAGTAGACGGTGCGGCCGTTGGGGCAGGTGAATCCGTCCGCTTGATCGGAGGAACAGATATCCTTGATGTTGCCGAGCATCCAGATGGTGACGCCAGCTTGTGTCAAGGCCCCGAGGATGGTGGCTAGTCCTTGGGCCATGAAGAGGGTTCGGGGGGGGATTTTTAGATAGTGGCCCAGTTTCATGTCCATGGCGAAGTAGACGCCTTGACCTACCACATCGGTGCTCAGAATTTTGAACAGCATGTTGGCAAGGGGCTTGCCCTCGAACATGTAGCCGCCGACAAACTCAGCCAGGACATTTAGTTGATTGGCGTCTACGTTAGTGATGCCCTGTATGATGCCACAGGGGATCATGTAGATTGCTGGGACGATGAGAGCAAGAAACACGCCATACACGGGGAGCTTCGTATGGTAGACTTCAACCACGACGATCGCGATAGCTGTGATCACCGCGATGATGGCTGCGTACCAGTACCATGGGGTGTTCTTGTAGTTCTTCATCAGACGGGCATGGATGTCCAGCTTGTTCTTTCCTTTGAGGGCAGCCCAGATCTCTTTGCTATGCCAAACTCCGATGTGAGTCAGGACTGCGGTGATGGATGCAAATGACAGTCCGTAGACAAAGGCGTACGTGGCTGGGAGATACGGAGGAGAATAGTTCTTGTATGCCTCAACATCCAGTGTGTTTTGTGAGCTGATAACGCGGGTAGTGTTGTATTCGGCACCCGTTCTGTCGTAGACGTCGGCTGTCATGAGAGGAAGGTAAGCTGTATACCAAGTGTTAGAGTAGTAGATGCCCGGCACAACGATCCAAAAGAACACCGCAAATCCAGCAAAGACGTTGATTGCAGCCCAGGCTGGCGAAAGCAGAGGGTTGGTGTTGTATGCGACCTGGCTCCAGTCGAAGGTGATAGGGCTCAGTCCCAGGCCGGTTTGCATGCCGAACAGCTGGTTCACAATCTTGTTCCGAGGTGCAATCCAACACACCCAGGTGAAGTATGAGAGAGCAGTGAACATGAGCCCGGGGAAAAAGTACCATACGAAGCCAGCTGCGGTGACATAGAGGAAGAACCGGAGACGGGAGATCTTCCAGCCATTGGCGACGCTATTTGCACGCGAATGAAGCGTTTCGAGCATCGCGCAATTCGATAAAACCTGTGGCCACACGATTCTCGCTGGCTCGACGAGCCATGGAGCAGCGAGTCCAGCGACCCCAAATCCCAGGAGTTGTGCGCAAAGGACGACCAGGACCGAGAAGCCAGCTGATAGACCAAAATTATAGAACTGGGAGCTAGAAGCCTGAATAATGTTGGTAGAATCCGCACTCCCATAGCCGAACGAGACATTGCTCATGATCACAATCAGTGCGTGCTCCTTGATATTGAACAGGCGGTCTGGATTGAGAGAGAAGCTGCCCAAGGGTCCGAGACTTATAGTCCACATAGGCAAGACTTTAGCCAGGAAGACCCCACAGGGATAAGCCAGCAGCTCTGCCACCAAGGATACGATATGTACCGACGGATAACGTAGCGAGAAAAATTGGTTGATGCCAGAGCCCACCATTGTGAAGATGAAGCCAAGGAGCCACATTCGGAATGTGCTGACGGGCATACTTGGGTCGTCTGTCTCAGGTACAACCGCGCGCACTGTTTGATACTCATATTAGATATCGCCCAACCTGACATATGATGTCTTGGGTCATTCACAAACCCTCGGGGAATGGTGAGTGGTCCGACTCATAGTCGTAGACTTCCTTGTCTGCCAAGTCACCCTCCTTTGTATGCAATTCATTGAGGCGACCTTGCTCCACCTCCAGGTCGGCTGTGCTGTAAGGTGACTTGGAGGATTTCTCAATCTCGATCAGGTCCTCGGTTGCCATCTTGGGGGACGAAAGGCTGTGGCCAGCAACTTGGTGACGGGGAAGGGAAGACGAGGGAGAAAAGCAGCCATGGCAGCAGGGCCACAAACAAGATTTGGCGGTCTTTAAGAAACTTCAACCATAGTCGCCTTAGCCTGCTTCTTATCGCCACATCTGCTGACACTTGCTAGTCGACTAGTGTCTAGCCCAGGGTGTAACCGACCGATAGGCATGGGTGTAGTCTATCTGGTGCAGATAACAGCCGTGCTAGCCCTATGCTAAGAGATAGGGGTGGCGGCGATGGGCTGATTGGCGGTTTGGAGCATTGCATAATAAGAATACTGAGATAGTCCAAAGTACTCAGAAATGACAAGAGAGTTAAAGTTATACACCGTGCTAATCATCACTGTGGCGGCAGAAAGAGGAAGAGAGTTGTAGACATGTCTCTTGGAGGATGCCGAAAGGAAGAAGTGCGGTCTGATAACAAAACGCGGGGAAAAGTCTCGATTGGGTTGAGAACGCGGGACACAGCAGATGCAGAGATAAGTTACGGAGTACGAATAGACAACCACGTAATCACGATTACTCCCTACTTTCTTCTAGCAAAAGCATCAAACGCATTCTATATCACTTACAGTCCGGTTATTCAAAGAAAGGAGATACGATGCGAATTGAATTATCATGATGAATTTGGTGCAAGACAACCCACCTTCCCACAGGCAGCGATGACCCCAAGCTAACAGTGTCTCTAATCCAGATCTCTTAGTGACAAATAGACTATCTCGAGAATCTAAAGCCTCTCTTGGACCTCAGATAGCACAACACAGCGCCAACAACGTATTCTCCTGCTGGATGGGGGAACCAGTTCACGTGTCATACCACCCTGGGACTGCCATAGAAGCACTCACTGAGCCCCTTCAACTGACGGCTACTGCGGAGGCTGGATTTGATATCGTGCCAGAAGTGAGTATAGAGCATTGTGTACAGGGAGACCTGAGTAGGTAATACGAATGCAGCCATGGCGACCTCGTACGTCCCTGACGTTGTCGTGGACCCAATGGATCGGATATCTCTGCGAGTAGTGAGTCAAATGTTCTCTTTCAACGAGAATAGATGCAGAGAAAGACATTACGTACGCCGGTGGTGCTATCAGCGATCCAAAGCAAGGTCAGCTCTTCCAAGTCCCGGAACTCGTGCAGCAGACTCTCCAGGACCGTCTGCCAGAGCCCAGCGGCAAAGCGAACAGTTCTCAAGTCCAGGATGCGCAGAGAGTTTCTGTTGGTGAGAAGGAAGCTCTGCAGGTCCTGGCTCGAGATGTCCACCACGCCTGACAATTTGAGCACCTCCAGCTTCATGTTATTACCCTCTTGTCCCAGACGTTGGAACAAGGCGTCGACTCCTTCGCCTCCACCACAGTCCAATTCTAGTTTCTTCAGGTTGGGCGCCTGGTCGATGAGCTCGTGAACGAAGTCAGCCAGAAGAGCGTCTTCCACCTGCGCAAGTAGGCACAGCTCGGTAATGGTGGACCAGCAAAGGCTGAAGCGAACAACATGAAAGGTGTGGGGGCAGAATCTCCTGGGGTCGATGATCCCTGCCGAATGTTTGTCAAAGTCCGGGTAGGAGCAGCTGAATGACTCGACGGGTCTTGTCATGCACGGGATGAGATGCAGCACGAGTGTCACTGCATCACTGGGACTGAGACAGTCGGACCAGGTACCCGATTCGGGCTGATTGGACAACGAGATATGGAACGAATGGCAATTCGGGAACTTCTTCAAGACAGCCCTCAATTTCAAGAAACCATTGGAAGAATGGAGGAAGTTGAGATACTCATTCTCCAAGATGTCACGGTACCATATGAACCCGTAGCCCAAAGTGCTCCCAGCAGCGCTGCCGATGGATATCTTCCTGACATGCTGGTTCAAGCCACAGGTCTCGGCGAGTTCATCCATGGCAAGCAGACTTAACTTTGATAGGTCTGTGTGTAGCGTGTGAAGCCCAATCCGTCCGAATTGATACTTGGTTGCGCGTTCGAGGGTCGAGCATGTCAAGCGCAACGCGCACAAAGCAGGCTTGTCCATGAAGGAAGCGATTAGGTCCATCAGTTCTGTAGGCAGTTCGCAGAGCTGATGCTTCTGTTTGTCTTCAAACGCGTTGTGAATCCTAGGATCTGTGTTTCAGGTAATCGATGAAGAGTCATGAGCCACCATGCATATCTTCTTCGAGGGGACGGACTTACCATTGGCTAAAAAGGGCGACATAAGTTTGCGAAGCCGCATGTTGAGGTCTTTGAAGGATTTTCTCCCCTTTGTGACCACTGTTAAGTATTCGTTCTAGTCACTACCTTTGTCAGTGATGGGTGGTTGTAGAGGTGATATTAGTGGTATTAGAGAAAGAGATGAGAAGCAACGTGCATCAAAAACCTATGAGGTGTTCGCAGGCTTGCCTTTTAGGAACCGTACTGTGGAGGATTGAACCTTTATCGATGCCAGGTATGACCTCGATGAAACTGTTGTTAGGGTGTTAGGAAGTGACGCGGGGAAGAGAGGAATCATATCACAGTTGACAATCTAAGATAGACCTACCTTCTCAGTATGGGAGTGTGGTGCACACGGCTTGGTGAATGAAGACGTTACGTAGGAGCCGCCTCAAGCTAATTCCTTTCACTTCACACTCCGAGGGTTGATATCAAATTCATTGCGAGAGATGTATGAGGATGAAAAGTTCAGTCCCGCTGAAAAACTGCATAAAAATTCTTATCCTATGTGCTACTCTATCACTTTCCCTGCTGGCTCGCAAGCCACGCTTCGTGGGCTTTCTTTTGACGCTCCCAGTCTTTCCTCAACTTCTTGCCCCGGCTCTTCGCGAGCGGTTCGCCAGCAGCATCCTTGGTCGGCATACCCTCCTCATCCCAGGCGCTGAATTCGCTAGTCTTGAACATCTCGAGGTGACTAAGCTTTCCCTTCTCAAGCTTTTCTTGAGCAAGGCGTTCCTTCTTCTCCTTTTCTTGCTGCTTCTGCAAAGCCTTGCGCGCCTGCTCTTCACGAGCCTGCAGCAGGTCTTTGGTGACAGGGCGGACGAGAGCCGGCTTGTTCTCACGGTCCTCAAGGTAAATGCCAAGGTTGAAAAGGTCCACATCACGCAAACGGTCACAGAGGGAAAGAATCTCCTTCGAAGAGCTCTTGGAGTCCTCAAGGCTTAACGATGCGAGCTGGGAGCTGAAAGACTCCAGAGCTTGGGAGTATGGCTTGGCGGCTTCGGTTGTGTCTGCATCTTTCACTGCTGCTGCACCGATGATCTCCTTGACCTTGTCTGATGTGATCTGGTTTCCGGACATGGCAGCCTGGCGCAAAGAGTCACGCATGGCGGAAAGCGGGTACAAGTACTGCTTTGCCACCTCAGGGACATCGGTACCCTCCCAGCCGATTTCACACTTGTCCACCGGGGTAGCCCCGTTCAGACCGAAAATGGTCACAATCCGTGTCACCCACTTGGCAGTGGATTCAATGGCCTGAGGCTCCAGCGTCTGGATATCAAGCGAGTTGAAAGTGGTAATCAGTTCAGAGATAGCAGCCATAACTCTAGGGGTATCAAAGGAATCGCAGAAGTGTTCATCGACCTTGTCTTGGGTGGACTTGAGGGCCTGTGTCAATGTTTCGGTAGATGCCGCATCGGTGGCGGAAGTCTGGTATGTGGAAGGATCCTTGACTTTAACAAAGAAGTTGTTGACCTTCTCTTCCCATGACGAGGCGCTCTTGACCAGCTCATCCGTGATCTCGACTCCGTCGCGCCAGCCACCCAGCAGGAAAACGATTCTCAGACTGCGAGCAGTGTAATCGCCTCGCTTAAGCGCGTCACTGATGGTAGTGAAGTTCTTCAAGGATTTGGACATCTTAGAGCCTGCAATGGAAAGGTGGCCCATGTGCAAGAAGTAGTTGACCCACTGGTGCTTGTGCTCGTGCCAGTAGGCTTCACTCTGAGCAAGCTCGTTGTCATGGTGAGGGAAAGCAAGGTCAATACCACCCGAGTGAATATCGATCTGGCTTCCTAAGCAGCTCGATGCCATAGCAGAGCACTCGATATGCCACCCGGGTCTTCCTTGACCCCACTTGCTGGACCAACTAGGCTCACCAGGTCGAGACGACTTCCAGAGAGCGAAGTCGTCGGGCGACTTCTTCTCGGTTGCCCGGGACAGGGCACCTTCGCCGTCTCTCTGCAGAGGTTGGTTGTTTCTATTCCACGGCTCCAGTCGGGCATAGTGGTTGCCGGCATCTTCGAACGCTTTGATGTCGAAGTAAACAGAGCCGTCCGAGGCCACATACCCAAACTTATTCGAAACAATCTTCTCGACAAAGTCCGCAATCTGTGGGCCATACTCGGTAACTCTTGTGATCTCATCGGGATCGAGAACGTTCAGGTCTCTCATATCGCGCATAAAGTGGTCTTCGTATTTCTTCGTGAGCTTCGTGAAGATTTCGTACGCATCGCCGGGAATCGTGGATCCTTGGGTGATGTCAAGGTAGTAGCAGAACACATCCTGTGTGGCATCGTAGAAAGCCTGGCTCGGTGTCTCGGGCTTCTTCGCGGCATCCGCAATGGCTGAAGATGACGCCGTCGCGGTCTTAACGTGCATCTTGATCTTGGTCTCCGCATCTCCCGGCCTCTTATCTGCCTCCAGCGAGCCGCCCTTGAGGACCACTCCATAAGCCTTGTCGACTTCCGCAGTAAAATCTTCAGGCTTCGTGTCCGGGTTGATCAGAGGGAGGTTCTTCTTGATGTAGGCGCTGTATGCCGATCGGGCAGTCTCGAGGACTTCGGGTGTGATATTCGGATGTTCCGTGATATACTTGTTGAATAGATGCTGTTGTCTACCGCGAAGGATGATCTGTGGCCATCAGTCACGCCAGTCCTTCAAGCATCCTTCCTAACGCGGTGGCTCATACCTTGTCGTCAACATCGGTGATGTTCATAACAAATTGCACATCATAGTTGAAGTAGTCCTTAAGGATACGCCGTAGGATATCGGTGCTGACATAGTTTCGCGCGTGGCCGAGGTGCGCATCGTCGTAAACAGTTGGGCCGCAAGCATACCACTTGACCTTACGTCCTTCGGGATCCAAGGGCACGAAAGGAGTCTTGGATCTGGTCAAAGAGTTCCATACTTTGAGAGGAGGGAGACGGGCGTCGGGGCGCGCGGGCGGCTGCTGCCACGGAGGTTGCTGGCGACTTTCCATCCTGAACGACCGACTGAAACGCCGTAAGAAGAACTGGGGATTGACAACGAGGGGTATTCGTGATGGTGGCATAATATAATCGCTGGAAGATTTTAGCACCTCGCTGGATTATGCGCTCCAAACTCTCTCACCGCCGACCACCCCGCTCTGCGCTAGTACAAATCGGGCAGATTGACTCATCAAGGCACGCCTGCCTCAAAGAGTAATATACATGTGATGCCAGCCCGGATCTGCCATCACTCACGCCCTATCCAAGAATACAATTATCAATGACTCAAAGCCAACTTCTAGAGCGAGTCAGCTCATATGCAAAACAGGGAGACACGAGACATCATCACCTTTGTACCACCCGGTTTGAATGACTGCAAAGCCGCCACCAATCACACTCATCCATGAAGGAATGAACCCAGCACTTATGACTGAGGCTGTGAGCAACAGACATTGACTCGAACATGGAGTATTCCCAAGGACAGTTTAACGGACCAATGAATTATAGTCATGTCATACTGAGGCTCAATCGAATCACTCTGGACGCTGGAAAACAGATAGTTCGGTCGATGAGATGAGTTCCGTCCATTGAACAGGATCTGTGTCACCCTCGACTGACGGAAAACAATGCTCACTGTCTGTCAGACATGTATGGATGCGGACACAGATAGATGCACGTAAGCCAGCCGGCATTGCGTTGGTCATAACGTGGGCACCAATGACTTGTAAATGTCTAAGACATGCTTGCGTCCATCTGGGGCGGCTAGATTCAGCATTGCTCCGAGATACGGTAGCAATTTCCGATATCCTTGGTACCTCATCATCTGGATGGATCCCAGCCTCAGCAACTACTGGTTGACCGGTGATACCGAACGAGCACCTATGCCTCAAGTCTCTTTCCCTTTTCTCCACATTACTGTTTTGCGTCTATTGGCAATCGACGCCTGGTCCTTGGAAGCACAGCATTGCATCCACAAACTGTCGGCACAGTCATCAGGGCTCGCTTAAGGATGGTTCTTAAGCTTGTCACAGACATGGGGGCCACTTTTGAAACCATGGCAGCACGACACTCGAGAGTATGATTCACGCTCTTAGAGCAAAAGCATGCCGCTCTCGTGTAGTCTACGAGACAATCATCTGGATGGTAGCTTCAAATCATATTACAGAAGATACTATCTCACTCGACGCTGTCTGCGAAAATCGGCAAGGCCTGACTGTCAGAAGACGACAGTTATATACAGATTTAAATACGCACCGCACTGCCTTCTCATCCTCGCACACTCAGAAAGGCGAGACTCCGTAAACTCCCAGCACCTTCCCTGCATCAGCATCTCTCTCTCCCTTGACCACCGTAGCCACTCTTTGACCTCCTTCTGAGGGCTCCGCAGCATTTCTCTTCCGCAGAGACTCGGGATCGCCGGTCAAATTCGTGGCACACAACCCTGGGTCCGCTCCAAACACTTTAAATCCCTCAGCCTTCAACCGTGCCCAGTACAAGACCATCATCATGTTCAATGCAGCCTTGCTCGAGCGATATTCAATCCCCCGCGGGCTATAGTATGGGGACTCGAGATCAGCAGCATGGGTGATTGACCCGGTGCTTGAACTGACAAAGATGAGTCGCTTCTCGGACGACCGTCGCAGCAGGTCTAGAAATGCCTCCGTGGTGCTCAGCGCCCCGACTAGATTCACGTTCAGGACCTTTCGGTAGGATTCGCGGGACGGCGGCTCATCCAGGATTGCGATGCCGGCGTTGTTGACTAAGATATCGAGTCGGCCGTACTTCTTCTGAACGTATACGGCGGCCTCGTCAACGGACTTGTCGTCCGTCACATCGATCTGGATGGTGGACACGGTTCCCTTGATCCCGGGGAGGGTACGGAGGGCTTGAGCGGCCTCTTCGCCTTTGGCTGGATCGCGAGAGCCTAAAAGAATGTGGTAGTCATGGCTCGAGATAAGAAGATTCTTGGCCGTCTCGAAACCGACCCCTTGATTTGCGCCTAGATTTGCGCTGAGACAGGAGTGCTGGTTCGTTCAAGATCAAACTTGCCATACCTGTGATCAGGACCAGCTTGGAAGCGGTGGCCATGCTCGCATGAACTGAGGATCAAATCCAGTTTCTTGTTGACAATTGCCGCTACATGAATGACTGTTGTCTTGCGCTTGGCATAGTATTATAGGCCATGGATAACAATCCAAAGGTTCATATAGATGAGACTTCGCCGGGTATAGTGATATTAAGTCCGTTGGTATGGTACTCTCGATCTATTTTCTGCTATCTCCGCCTAAACCCGCTTCGACCCTGGTCATATGCACATAATATAGCTTAAGCTAATGCACAAGGATACACTATTTAGATCTGCTGGAGATATACACTGTCTGTCAAAGCCAAGCACTAGAAACGGTTGCTACCAGTGGTACACTCATTAAGAATCTCTCAGCGACGACAGCATCTTCACGGCCATGCTATCTGCTCAACTTGAAAGTAAGAAGTGAGTGAGTAGCAAACGCTCAAATGCGGAGCATCACGCATATCCCCCCACGTATCGGCCGCATTCATGCTTAAGGTGAGTGCAAGGCAGTGTTCAATCACCCACATTGAGCTTCACTTTACGGCTTACAGCATACCACCCCCAAGGGATGGTTCGTCATCCATCTGAGCTTTAGGATATGACGTACGAACCTACCAAGTCGTGCACACAAAGTAAGGCAGAATCCACCACAAATGACCAGCATGGCATGCATACACACACACGTCCGAAGCATCTAGACCATTGCCGCCATCTGTCCATGTATCCATCCATCAACAAACGCACGCGAACCCTGAATCCGCACAATGTCGGCGCATCACACCGCAAAACACAACGTCACCGGGCGGTCAAACACAAGCCTGGCGAGCCCTGGCAACGCACAGCGGCAGCCTCACTTATGTCTGTAGCGTAGCGTAGCATCTAGCATTCAGTATCTCGCATTGAGCATATCAGATGCAAGCAACATCATCACCATGCCTTTACATAATCTGTCTCCCTACAGCCAACGTTACCTCTTGTATGCACATTGCTCCGGAACTCCTTGCTGCAGTGCTCTGTGTTTCTGTTCTCAGAGTGGAATACCGCTAATGGCAATTTTCGGCAATGCGTGTCTTGCGACCTGGATATATATAGATTCAGTCTTCGACCCTGATTTGTGTCACTATGTCACGATGTCAGGATAAGACGGTGAGCTCTAGCTCCTGCTCCTGCTGCTGCTGCTGCTGCTGCTCCTGCTGGGTATGACCTAATCTCCCGAACAATTCGAGAAAAGCTAAGTCCAGGAAACAGGGAATTGCGAAGATAGGGCTCTACTAATTCAACCACCAGCAGATAGATCGCCCTCGGCACAATCATAAACGGTAGTCTACTGCATACACCATACATGAACCTTCAATCCCAATTTGAAACCACAGCTGACCTCCATCTAGCTCATTTGTTCAGCAGGTCCATTTTAGCGTCAGAATTCCCCAAACAAGAAAGCAGATGCACCTCGGGACCATGTCCAGTAGTCCGTACCGGTAGTATCTCGGGAAACCTGCCTTCTCTCTCACCCCCCCCAATCCTGACAGCGGTCTAGACCTCACAACCACAAACAACAATTTCAACAAGGATATGTAACTTACTTTGTAGACGGCAAGCTTGGTTAATAATAAATAAGCAACCGCACGTTGTTTCCGTCTTTATTTCTTTAGCCATCCACCGTAGGTTTACGCACCGATATTCCCGTTCCCTCCACACCGCAGTTTAACATTCTACTGAGTCGCACGCACGCGTCACCGACATCAACATCCTAATCACTTTTCACCGCCAGTTTTCTCGAACGCCACACCGGGTTTAGGCAGAGAAAGTCAAACGCCGCGCGCACATGAAGTCAAAACCTAGAGGGGATTTCCGGGGTTGTAACCGGTCGTGCCGAGTTACTTTACTTTAACTTCGTTTTCTTTATACTCAGTACTCTTGAGTTTGACTGATTTAATGTTGATGTTTAGTTATGCTGTAGTGGGTGGGTAAAGGGTGGAGGGGTGGGTAATTACCCGATAATGATGGATGGTGGGAGGCTAGAACCTGATCCCCGACGGACAACGGACATACTCGGTGGGGTTTTTTCACCTAGAAAAAGAATTCATCGGAGAGAATCGCCGTAGAGCTTCTGGAAGCCATGGGTTATCCCTGTCATTTGGGATATCATTGCCTGTCGGGCAGTGGTGGTAACGGTGGTGGTGTGTTTATCCGGATTAGCAAGAGCGTCGGATATTGTCCGTCGAGGGAAATGCCGAGGTTCCGGGCGTGCGTGCTGCTGTCTTCCGGTTTTATTGGCGGGGAAATGAGGAATGCAGACAGGTGGCTCGTTTTTTCTTAATTTCTGAGTGGTTGATGCTCCTCCGTTTCGTTTCCGAAGGGTTTCGTCGCTAGATGTGATATTGCCGGTGTGTTGGGCTGTTGATGGATGATTGCGATTGAGACTCGGTGTCTCTACAATATACACTAGCTCTCTACAGAACCCCGGGTAAAGAAGCTTGGACAATGGAGTGGTAGGGTACAGTCTGTACATCCCAACCAAGTTCAGAACCGTGCACTCCGAACCAGATAATAAACATATGCCATATGCTAACTACACGTGGTCGCCCGAGTAGCGGAGACAGCGGTTCTCCATAATACTTCTGATAACCGGACATCCTGGCTTGTCAACAAATTACATGAGTACAGGAGTACTTGAGTCATCCTCCTCCGGCCCCTCCACAATCCTTCAGTCATCCCTCCGAATCCCCATCCTCATTGTCCACTTCTTTCCGTGCTAACCGACGAAAAGAAGGCAGCCCGGCGATGAAGGTGCGATGAATAACTACCCGATCGAAAAATCATTTATCCCCGGCCAAAGGATCCCATATCCAGTCCACCCTCCCACACTTGCCGCATATTTGATTAATAGAATGCGAGTGGCTTGCTTACTCAATTTGCCCATAAATCCTGGATCAGGTAGCCCGGCAACCCGGTCCGGTTACTGCGTGGAATCATTCTCGAACGTTGTGGTCAGCAACGTCTTGACATCTAACCTTGCCTCCCCCCCCCCATCCAACCCACGCCAGCGCGGGGGCTACAGTTTCGTGGCCGTAGCCCCGATACGATAACGGCAGTCCGGCTATAATCATACTGCACATAAGCTGGGGCAGGCACGCAGATGGGTGTTTCTCCCGTATATGTTGTACATCATCTCGTGTATGCCGGGGGGAAATGCTTGCTTTCGTGGCTTGGAATCTGTTGTATTTGTTTCTGTCATCTTCATCGATTCTATTATTATTTCGTGGTGGGTTACGGGCTTACGTTGGGGGTGGGTGGTGGAATGAGGTTGCAGTGATGAGCCGCGCGGGGCGACCGCGCTGCGGTGGCTATTTACTGTGGAAGATAAGTTGAGGGAAGAGGAAGTATTCCCCGCTGTAGATTTCTTAGTGAACGTACATGGATATACTTCAATCGCCAACGTACACGAGTACTGTACTGCCTCTCTGCACTTACCAGGGAGAATGGCCAGCTCTACCACCTGAACAATCCACCTTTACCCTTTGGCTACTCCGACAACAGGCGTTACCCCGTTTGACTTATTCCAATCTCTAACCGAGCACCTACTACTCATGTACGCAAATAGACAAGCAGGTAAACTCCCTAGGTCTAGTTGCCACCCCCTCAACCTCCAAAGCAACCTCCCCGCCACCTCACTCGCTCACACATCCGAAACTATGAGGACGGTAACTTACTAAATACTTCCGGCACTAAATACCGAACCCAACACATGATAAGTACTCACACTATAGTATACTAGGTACACTACATGATCAGTAGAACCCAGTACTATACGTAAACTAGGCAGTAGGCGCAGGAAACCCGGTCCATCTCCACTGAAACAATGCTTATTCCGGCCTCTAACCCACGGAATAACTTCCCACCCTCGACGGGCGAAATGATTCCATCAATCAGATCGCGCGCAGCTCTCCCACTTTATACTCTTACCTAGAGCTACGAAGTGCATTCAGTGAGCTTGTTCATCGGTTAATAGCCTAGTCTGCTACTTCCCCCACCACTTCGTAGCGCTGGATCGGTTCTAAAGTAGCTTGCAGACTACTATAGTCTTATGCGGACTCCGGGAGTTGGTTCCATTTGCTGGGACAGGTGATTTATACGGAGGTGTTGATTTGCGGAGGAGTGAGCCTATTATCTTGGTATCGGAGATGTCTCGGTGAGGGTCGGTGACTTACCTAGTAGAGGGGGTTGCTTCCTGCTCGTGAATATTGAGTAATTGATGGTGGTGGGGGTGGGGGTGGGGGTGGGGGTGGCATTGACTAATTACCGATAGATTTGATTCGGAGGATATTATTGCTGTTGCTGTTCTTGTTGGAGGTTCGAGATGAGGTGAGCAGTGCATTTTTTCTTACTTAGTAACGACTAGGAGAGAGGAGAGGGGGGCAGGTGAGGCTCTGATGTTGCATGCGGGATGGAATTGCAGATGAGGCTCCCAGTCCGGGGTGGTTGTGTTGGACGACAGGCTTACTCGCTGATTCACCCAGTACCGTATGTACAGCACTAATTCGGTAGCCATATAAGCTGGGCCCGCCTGGGGTAGTCAGTCACCTACCATAAAGACTGGTAATCATCTGCCGAGCAGTGTGTCCAACCGAGTTGACTGGGATATACCGGTCTCAAGGAATAGGAGCATTAAGCCTCACTCACTCACACACAGCCGGAGTCAAACCCCGTCGTCGGCTGACACCCGCACCACCAACATCCGCACGAGTTACCAAAACAGGAGACCTCGTTGCGATCACTTCACCCCCCTCCTTCCGTTACTTAAGTTGGCTTATGACCCTACCGTGACGGTTACAGTTACACCGTCCACCGCCATCCCCGATTGTCGTCCGCATGGAGAAGGCGCTGTGCTCAGTAAGAAACGGCATTGTTCAGCTGCCCGCTCGCCCGCCCGCGGTGCCGGTCGCCGCGCTCTTCCCCTACTTCCCCATTTGGGTCTGAGGTTGATGGTCTCGATGTGGCAACGGGTTGGTTGGGT